ATGCCTACATCGTGTGAATGAATAAAGAAAAAATACTAATTTGGAACACCTTTTATAAACCTCCCTTTCCCCCTCTTGAGAGAACAATCTAAATTAACCCCCTTCACAGCATGGGCTGTCACTGGTTCAAAAGGAAGGCCTATTAACTGTTTAGGACAATTAATATCAAACTTGCCCACATGTGAAGTACTAGGCAATTTTGAAATTGTCCAGGTCTTTATGAGCCTGCTCCCTATGAAAAAATAGAATATAACGATAATTGGCACATGGGATCCAAATGTCTTCACTGACCTTTAGGTTGAAATCACACTGTGCAGGATTGCTACTCAATACCTTTGCATGAAATTGGCTCTGCTGCATTAACCTTAGTCACAGTGCAAGAGTTTCATAGGGCTGTCTGAAAATATTCATTGTTATGACAGCATTAATATTGCACGCATAATTTCATCCATGTTCAGTGGAAGCTGAATGATTTATTCATGACCACATCTAAGCAAAACAGCAAAAACAGCTTCTTTGTATTAGTTCTTAGGATTTAAGAATGGAGGCTGCATTAAACATCCATCTTTATCTGCCCCCAGGATAAGCTGGACCTTTTCCTCAGCTGTGCTTACGAAGGAATGTCTTCTTTATTTAAAAGAAAAATCACAATATGCAGGTATCACTGGATAGGCCAGCAATTATCGCCCATCCCTGATCAACCTCTTTGTTATGGGTCTGGAGTCACGTGTGGGCCACGTAAGGACATTAGTGAACCAGATGAGATTTTACAAAAATCTACAATGGTCGTGTGGTGAGATAGCTTTCTATCCCACATATCCACTGGATTCAAATTTCATAACCTGCCATGGCAGGATACAAACCCATGTCCTCAGAAAATTAACCTGGGCTTGTGGATTACTAGTCCAGTGACTTTACCACTGTGTCAGCATCTCCCTGTAAGTAATTTCAAATTAGATCAGGGTAAGACCACAGGAACATAAGAAATAGGAGCAGAATTAGGCCATTCGACTCATCGAGTCTGCTTCACTATTCGATCATATCTGGTATATTTCCAACCCTATTCTCTTGCCTTTCCCCGTAACCCTTGATCCCTTTACCAATCAAGAACCTATCTATCTCTGTCTTAAGTACACATCAATGACTTGGCCCTCTGCAGCAATGAGTTCAACAGATTTACCTTCCTCTGGCTGAAGAAATTCCTGCTCATCTCAGTTCTAAAGGGCTGTCCCTTCATTCTGAGGCTGTGCTCTCAGGTCCTCGTCTCTCCTACTAGTGGAAACATCTTCTCCACGTCCACTCTGTCCAGGCCTCTCAGTATTCTATAATTTTCAATCAGATGCCCCCTCATCCTCTAAAATCCATGGAATACAGATCCAAAGCATCATATGATAAGCCCTTTACCTCTAGGGTCATTCCAGTAAACTTCCTCTGGACCCCACTCAATGCGAGCACATCCTTCCTTATCTACAGGGCCAGTTAACATATCAGATGGGCTTTAAGGCAGAGTTACTGCTTTTATAATTTTTTTTTGTTTTCTGTTTCTCTGTCCTCTATTTGACAAATTAGAGATTTATTGAGTCATAGAGTCGTGCAGCATGGAAACAGAACCTTCAGTACAACCAGTCTGCGCTGACCACGTTCCCAAACTGAACTAGTCCCACCTGCCTGCAATTGGCCCATATACCTCCAAACTTTTCCTATTCATAAACTTATCCAAGTGTCTTTTAAATGTTGTAACTGTATCTGCATCCATGACTTCCTCTGGCAGTTCATTCCACACAAAGAACCACCCTCTGTGTGAAAAAGTTGCCCCTCAAGTCCTTTTTAAATATTTTTCCTTTAAAATATGTCCCCTAATTTTGAACTCCCCCATCTGAGGAAAAAGACCCTATCTATGCCCCTCATGACTTCATAAACCTCAATGAGGTCACCCCTCAACCTCCTATGCTCCAGTGAAAAAAGTCCCAGTCTATTTTTATGTCTCAAACCCTTCATTCCTGCCAACATCCTCGTAAATCCTTTTTGAACACGCTCCAGTTTAATAACATCCTTCCTATAACAGGGCTATCAGAGCTGCACACAGTACTCCAGAAGAGGCCTCACCAACGTTCTGTATAACCTCAACGTAATGTCCCAACTCCTGTACTCAAAGCACTGAGAAGCTGGAATTTGAACTCATGGTCACTAGGTCGTTTGGATCATTTTTGACACCAGCTAGTTACCCTGATTCTCAAAGACTTCAATTTTTCTAGGGCTCCTTGATGCCACACTTGGTCAATTACTGCCTCGATGGCACACTTACGTCAGCTCTGGGTTTTAGCTCTAGATCTCCTGATCCATGCATCATGGTTGACTTTTAACTACTGTGTGATAAAAGTACAGCCCACATCTCCAACCCTGCTTCGAAACAATAACAAATCCCACACTTAAAATTGCTGAATCTGTTAAAATAGCACCTTCTACAGTGCAGCACTCCCTTCATACTGCACTTGACTATCAGTCTAGATCTTTGTAACCACCTGAACCATAGCTGACATCAATAATATCAGAAATAGGCAGCACAGTGGCTCAGTGGTTAGCACAGCTGCCTCACAATGTCAGGGACCCAGGTTCGATTCCACCCTCGGATGACTGTGTGGAGTATACGCATTCTCCTTGTGTCTGTGTGGGTTTCCTCCTGGTGCTCCAGTTTCCTGCCACAGTCCAAAGATGTGCAGGTTAGGTGGATTGGCCAGGCTACATTACCCCTAGTGTGCAGACCAGGTGGTTAGCCGTGGAAAAAGTGGGGTTATGTCTATTCTAATAGGGTGGCGTTGCTGGGTTTAGATGGGATGCTGTTCGGAAGGTTGGTGTGGACTCCTTGGGGTCAAATGGCCCACACTGTAGGGATTCTATGAAATGCAGAAAGGTCTAGCTTCTTGGATGAAAACATTACCTTGTGCAGCATCAAGCACTCAAAACCGAGATGGCATCCTTGGTTTGTATTAAATTTGTTGATATTATTCACAGTAGGAGTTGAGGCAGCACAACTGGCCACAGTGTCTTTAGGAGTGGGATTAGACAGAAACTGGCAGGGATCTCAATTCTGACTGCGAGCCAGTGACAATGCCAGGAGGTGTCTACAGTTAAGCGGAGAATTAGGTTTGTATTCCATCCTGTCCCATGCACAGTGTCCTCTTCTACTGCTCTTGCTGTTGAGGCTCAGACTCAGAGCAGCTGTCACAACAGGATCTCTGGTAGGGCACTAAACCATACCACAGCCTGATTCAGCACCTCCTAGTGGGGTGAGCAGTGAAAAGAAATGCAAAAACTGTAAGAATTACAGAGAAAACAATCGATCAAATTGACGTCTTATTGAACAAGCCCTGCCTTGGTATGACTGTAGTGCTGTTGCATCTCCTATTCAGGTTAAAATTTGTTTGAATTTGGCAATTTAAATTCACTGCCACATTCTCATTAACCACATGTCTGCATTTCAGAACATTTTTAGGCTGCACGTAGAGTGAGCTGTGAAGAGTAGTATCAGCCTCAATAGCATGTCTGAAGGAAGACAGAAGTAGGATTCCGACCTTGGTCTTGATGAATTTCCATCAGTTCACACTGATTTCTTTTGTTTTTCCCATCCCCATCATACAAAGACCTATTGTCGAATGCTGTGTCAGTACCACTCCTTAGAAAAATACATTCATGCCCATTTCCAAATAGAAACATAAAAAAAAGTTGCCATTCAGCCCTTCAAGCCTGCTCTATCATTCAACATGATCATGGCAGATCCCCTATCTCATATTTCTGTTTCCTCCCCATTCCTCTTGATGCATTTAGTATTGAGAATCCATCATTTTCTCTCTTAAACGTATTTAGTGACTCTTGGCCTTCACTAGGGGTAATTTCACAGATTGACCACCTTCTGAGTGGAGAGATTTCTCCTAGGTCTGAAGTGGCCTACCTTGTCACCTAAGACCATGACCCCTCCTTCTGGATCCCCTGGAAAATATTATCCCTGCATTCAGACTGTCCATCTCCATCAGGATCCAATGAGTTCCCCTCTTCTAAACTCCAGTGAATACAGACCCAGTTGCCCCAGTCTCTCCTCACATGACAAACCTACCATTCCAGGAATCAGTCACAGGAATGTAGGAACTAGGAACGGGAGGAGGCAATACAGCCCTTTGATCCCACCCCACTATTTAACGTGATCGTAGTCAGAAGTAATACGACACAGGGTTGTAGTCCAACAGGCCTATTTGAACTCACAAGCTTTTGGAGCACTGCTCCTTCGTCAGGTGAAGTGAGAGTTTGTGGTGACAGTGGTAGCCATGATATGGAGGTGCCGGTGTTGGACTGGGGTGGACAAAGTCAGAAACCTTGGCTACCATTGACACCACAAATTGCCACTTCACTGGAGGAAGGAGCAGCGCTCTGAAAGCTTGCATTTTCAAATAAACCTGTTGGACTATAAACTGGTTTCTTGTGACTTCTGACTTTGTCCACCCAGTTCAACACCGGCACCTTCACATCATAATATGATCATGACTGATCTTATTCCAGACTCAATTCCACTTTCTTGTCTGCTTCCCATAGCCCCTTATCCCACTTTTCATCAAAAACATATCTATTTCTTATTTGAAACTGTTGATTAATTCTGCCTCCATTGTATTCTGGGATAGTGAGTTGCGTGTTCGCTTGTTAGAATGTATATGCTTTCCATCATTTACTATCCACGAGGGTACGTCATGCTGTAGCCTGCTGATAATATTGAGTACCTCGAGGGGATAAATCCTCAGATTCAATCAAGCCATCAAAATCACGATGAACAAGTGTTCACCATGGAAAACAAGCATTTGCATTCCTAGAAAAAGCAGGGGAACATGAGAGGGGCACACAATGACTGATTAGCACCACAGAATTCAAGTTGGCACCTTGACTGGGTGGGAGGCACAGCTGGGGAATCAAGTGGTCTGTAAAGTCAACAGTCGAGGTAAAAGGTGACTACTTACTGTGACGATCACTGGTGCTGTGAACTGTGACCCTTGGGACTCTTGGACCTGAGGAGAAAAAGAAGATAGTTGATAGGTCAGATGTATGGAAGAGAGAAAAAAGAAACATGGAGTTAAATAGGGCTTGCTCAGGATGGCTGTGTATGAGATTCAGTGACTCAATTTGTTGTCTTGGGCACACAGACAACGGGGCAAATATTCTCTCTGGTGTGTGTGTCTGTTTAATGATAATTACAAATACCATAATTAAAACCATAGTTTGATGCTCAATTACTTCCCAACATGAAGGTAAAGAAACTGTTTCCATGTCTTTAAATAACTGTGGCATAAATTTCTGATTACACTTTCAAGGCCTGATGATTTGTGAACAGAAACGTATCACACTTATGATTTCTTCAGGCAGATTATCTTCCAAGATTTTGTCAATCTTACTGCTGTTCATCATATTAGCAGTTGAAGACTTGGTTGGCCTAGCTGACTCAGGTATGATGGGTTGAATGGCCTGTGTAAGATTCCATCTGAACTTCATACAAACCCTAACACATTAGGGATTACTACATTGTGGAATTCATGTAATTCTGTATATTTCGGTAAAGTTACATCCGAACAGTGTCCCGAGCCAGCATGATTAGAGTCATAGAGCTGTTCAGCAGACTTACAGACCCTTCAGTCCAACTTGTCCATGCTGACCAGATATCCTAAATTAATCTACTCCCATTCGCCAGTATTTGGCCCATTCTTTGGTAAAAGAGGATTTAATAATATTGAAGGGAATTGCAACTCATATTGGACAGTGAACGTGGGAGGACTTGGACAGAGCACAGTCTCTTGACCTTGCAATGATGCCACAGGAGTATTTCATATTGACATTAATGTAGAATGCTTCCTCTGCTGTTTTGACAGAGGCAATCACTTCACTATTTTAAATTGGTTGAGCTCCGTCAAAAAAGTGGACAAAGGAAAATCTTACAAATGCCCTGCACTTTTACATGCTAACAACTGAATTTAAGTGCCTCGGAGTTATCCCTGCATGTGGAATTAGCTTTGGGCAGTATGTAATCTACAGCCAAGTCATTGTGAGCAACGGGAGGATCCAGTTTCCCCAATTATCTGAAAATCCTCCATTTCTTCCACTGAGGTGGTGCAGGCATTGAAGAGGGCTGTGGCTAACGTGGGCTAACTTGAGTAACTGGGAGATGGCCTATACCTCAGACTGCACCACCCCACTCAGATTAGAAAACATTATTTTGGTGCTTGGTTTTAATTCACCTGTGGGACATGGGCATTGCTGACTGGCCAGCATTTATTGCCTGTCCCTAGTTACCCTTGAGAAGGTGATGGTGAGCTACCTTCTTAAACCATTGCAGTCCATGTGCTGTAGATTAGGGAGCTGCGGGGGGAATTCCAGGACTTTGACACAATAACAATGAAGGAATGGCAATACATTTCCAAGTCACAGTGTTGAGTGGTTTGGAGGGGATCTTGAAAGTGGTGGTGTTTCGATGTATCCACTGCCCTTTTCCTGCTAGATGGAAGTGGTCATGGGTTTGGAAGGTGCTGTCTAAATATCTTTGGTGAATTTCCACAGTGCATCTTGTAGATAGTACACACTGCTACTACTGAGCATCAGCGGTGGAGGGAGTGGATGCTTGTGGATGTGGTGCCAATCAAACAGGCTGCTTTGTCCTGGATGGTGTCAAGCTTCTTGAGCGTTGTTGGAGCTGCACCATCCAGGCAAGTGGGGTGCATTACATCACAAACAAAATCAGAAATTGCTGGAAAATCTCAGCAGGTCTGGCAGTATCTGTGGAGAGCCAGCAGAGTTACCATTTTGGTTCCAGTGACCCTTCTTCAGAACATCCGCAGTTCTTGGGTTTTCTTGTTTAATATTCCACCACGCTCCTGACTTGTGCCTTGTAGATAGTGGACAGGCTTTGGGAAGTCAGGAGGTGAGTTACTGGCTGCAGTATTCCTAGCCTCTGATAGGCTCCTGTCTTTATGTGGTGGGTCCAGTTGAGTTTCTGGTCAATGGTTACCCCAGGATGTTGATAGTGGAGTATTCAGTGATGGTAACACTATTGAATGTCAAGTGGTGATGATTAGAATGTCACTTATGGGAGATGGTCATTGCCTGGCATTTGTGTCGTGTGAATATTAGTTGCCACTTGTCAGCCCAAGCCTGATATTGTCCAGATCTTATTTTGTGCAATTGAAGGGAAGCATTTCAGAAATGAGCATTTGACAGATTCCATTTCCATTTCTTTACAATGATGGTAACAGCGTGGAAGCACATAAATATAGTAACATCATTGCATAGCTCTCCTGCAGAAAACATTCTTTTTGATTAGGAAGCTCGTCTTCTTTTAAGATGAATAAACTGTCACAATGAAAATATAGAAGGTAGTGGTAGAATTTGAAGGGAGGGAGAAATCAGTATGCCCAACCTTGGTGCTGAAACAAAATGTCAAATTAAAACCAACTGTTTACTAAGCAAGTGAGGTAATAAAATGAGGTATATGAGACCATCTGCGTCAGGCCAGATCAATGTTCATTAATATAGAGCAAGCATGTTTATTCTGGCCTTCACCCAAGGTGAGCTGTGCCAACGCAGGTAAAGAAACTCACACAGCGGACAAGCAGAACATATTCCTGATAATTACTCTGGGACAGTGTGTCATTGATGACCTCAAGCATTGATTTGAAACTTGAAAGGATTCAGGAAAGATTTACAAGGATGTTGCCAGGGTTGGAGGGTCTGAGCTATAGGGAGAGGCTGGCTAGCGTTGGGCTGTTTTCCCTGGAGTGTTGGAGGCTGAGGGGTGACCTTACAGAGGTTTATAAATCATGAGAGGCATGGATAGGGTGAAAAGTCAAAATCTTTTCCCCAGGGTGGGGGAGTCCAAAACTGAAGGACGTAGTTTTAAGGTGAGAGGGGAAAGATTTAAAAGGGGCCTAAGGGGCTCAGAGGGTGTAGTAACACATAAGAAACTTGACACCATCCAGGACAAAGTAGCCTGCTTGACTGGTATCATATCCTTGACGTTAAATCCTCACTCCTTCCACCACTGATGCACAGTATCAGCAGTGTGTAATGTTTATAAGGTATGCTACACCAATTCATCAAGCCTTGTTTGGCAGCACCTTGCAAACCCCTCACCTCTAATACCTGGAAGGACAAGGTTGACAAAGACAGCGTTGACACACTAGAAGTCCACCACCCAGAAGATCCCCTCCAAGCCACACACCGTCCTGACTCAGAACTATTTTGCCGCTCTTTCACCGTTACGGGGTCACAATCCTGGAATCTGCACTTTAAGAATGTGGCTCATCTTCACCTTCCCAAGGGAAATCAGCAAAGGGAAACAAATGTTGGCTTTGCCAGAGCTCCCACATCCCACAAACAAATGAAAAAAAATTTGGATTCGGCTTAACAAATTTTTACTCCCCTCACTTGGTCATGCTGGCAGTTAGATATGCAGTTTAAGACAATTGCAGACTAGAGTGCAATTTTTTTCCTCTCATGCCTCAATCAGCTAGATTGATGGTTCAAATGATATTTGATGTTCTGTAAGCTAGGTCGTCCTATTTTAAGAAGAACCCTTCTTGTTTTTTTTATCTTTTAACACATTGGGGACAAACTCAATGCTGGTTCCTGCCTGATATTATAAAGATACAAAATACAGAGGGGCATAAATTGGGTTTGAAAGACACAGGATAGAGAGCTCATGAGAGGTCATGATCTTCCTAAATGGCCCCCAATTAAGCTTCAGAGTCGAGGACTGCCGTCCTGTTCAGAGGCCAATTGAGCTCTTAAATGGGCAATTAAGGACCTTAACCTCTGGACCTGGGGTGGGAGGGGATGTGGGGAGGTTCATTCCATGTGGGCGAGCCACCCTGAAGCTAAGGTGGGGTGGTGGGTTTCTTTCTGTTTCGGGCATCTGGTGGTACCTGATAGGGGAGCTTGCTAGCAGAAAGGCCTTTAAACTGACGCTCCCTGCAGCAGCCCACCTCACCGCCAAAGCCCCCCTCCACCACCACCTGGTGGTGCTGCCAGGACAGGAGAGCTCCACCAGCCTTTGACCTGTCGACAATGCCCAGAGGCAGCACTCTCACCCTGCAGGACCCGGGAACGCTGACCACTTAAGTGCCTGACCGGATTTTAGTTGTGCCAAGGCTCTGATGAATAGCTACAGGGGGACTGACACCGGCTCTTCAGCTCGTGGATGGACACACTCGCGTGACCATTAAACCCCAGCCTAGAGTTTCAAATTTCCATTATCATGTATGTGCATAAAGGTACTTCCTAACTTCATTCCTGAATGGCCTCACTTGTATTTTAAGAGTGTGATGCCTGAACCCTATTCTGGATTGTTTCAACCAGCAGATATATTTTTCTCTGTATCAATACTTTTTAATCATTATAACATGTCAATCATATTACAGACTGTCTGGCCCTTCAAACCTGTTCATAGAATCCCTACACCGTGGAAGCAGGTCATTCGGCCCATTGAGTCCTCACCCACCCTCTGAAGAGATTCCCACCCAGATCCAGACCTTATATTATTCCTGTAACCTTGCATTTCCCACAGCTAATCTACACATCCATGGACACTATGGGCAAATAGGCACGGTCAATCCACCAGACCTGCACATCTTTGAACTGTGGGAGGAAACTACAGCACCCAGAGGAGTGCTCACACAGACATGGAGAGAACGTGTGACCACCACACAGACAGTCACTTAAGGCTGGAATCAAACCCATGGCCCTGGCACTCTGAGGCAGCAGTGCTAACCACAGAGCCACCATTCAATATGATCATGGCTGATCCTCTATCTCAATGCCATATTCCTGCTTTCTGTCCATATTCCACTTAATGTATTTAACATCTAAAAGTCAATGTGATGTGTTGCACAACTTTATTACTCAAGAGAATATGTACCGAGTTTATACATTTGGTTTTCTGATTTGGTAGAGTACTGCTGCTTAATAAACATGTTCAATTTCAAAATGCATGGATAGCAAACACTGATTCATCTGGTCCCCTGCT